CCCTTCCTTCCTTTTCTTATTTTTTAAAACTGCAAAAGTAACACAACTTGGGGAAATGTCGCATCGTAGGACACTGCGGAAAATGGAAACAACCTCACCCAGAGTGAGCCCTGGTCCCGGTGCCCCCCATGCCTACGTCCCTCCAGGGCTCCAGCTCCCTGCTCCCAGATGCTCTTCTTGGACCAACAGCCTTGCGGCCGCCAGAGCCACTCTGCCACCAAGACCAGAGACCCCCGAGAGCGGCCCTCTCCCACGCCTCCCCTGCCAGGGCCCCTGGGGTCGGTCTGAGGCCACCTCCTTCCTGGCAGCCTGCCTCCCACTCTCCTCGGGCCCCGAGGCCCTCCTCAATCCAGTCCTTGCACAGGACTCCCCCCGGGGTCTGTGCGGGGACAGCTTGACCCCAGACAGACATCTCGGTGCTGCTGCTCTCGCCCAGGATGACCCAGCTGCCGCCCAGCAGAGCGAGGGAGAGAGCCTGGCCACCGGGGCCGGACCCTTCATTCAAGGGCCCCCTGGAAAGGGTGCAGGGATCAGGCTCGGCTCCAGCCAGGACGAGGGCCTGATTGAGGGGGTTCACCGGACGGCAGCCACAGGTGGCAGGAGGGCTGGGAGGGTGAGGGGGGGCTCCCAGGAGACAGGAGCAGGGCCCTGGGGAGGAGGGCTGGGACCCCTCTCACAGATGGGCCCTGAGCTGTCGGAATGTTCCTGAGAAGCCACACCCAGGAAATGACGGAGCTGGTTCTGCCACCTGGGTCCCCTGATGTCCTCGCGGGCACAGCACCAAGTGAGGATGACTCGAGCCCACCTGTGGCCGTCCAGCTGAATCCCGCCTCTACCTCACCCTCCATGGCGGCAGCTGGTGGGCCCTGAGCTCCCTGAGCAAATAGGGGAGAAAGCTTTTGCATTCCGGGGAAATGCACTGCCTGTTTGCAGATCCCAGTGCACACCCCCTTTGCAAACAGAGGCAGGTCCTGTTCCAGGGGACTTTATCCACCCCCGTGCCAGGGCCTGCCCTGCCTGCCCATTTGCTGGGCGAGGGTGAACATCACTGTCTGCACAGGGCTCCCAGGCAGGGTCCCACCCGAGCAGCCAGCCCAGACTTGTTGCTCAGACCAGGCTCCTGCTGAGGCCTCTTCTGGAAGCCACTGCACCAGGTGGGGACCGTTCACTTCACATGGGCACAGGGAGGAAGGTGGGCAGGTGGACTCTATGGAGGCTGGTGAGCATCCGAGCCCATCAGGGCTCCAAGGGGTGGATTCTTCAGGGAAGCTGGCACCCCGAGACCTGGCACAGAGTCTGCTCCAGGCCCCAGGGTCATGAGAAGGGCCAGGTTCTCAGTGTGGCTATGGGCAGGGCACCCCCACCCTAGGAAACTCAGTTTCCCCACCTCTCCAACGTACCCACAGCAGAGCAGGTCACTCCTGGGCCTGTTGCTCGGGCATCCTCTGTCGCTTCCCTTCTGAGCAGAGCGCTGAGGAGGCCCCCTCCCTGCCTGCCTGCAGCAGCAGGAACCCCACACCCACACTGGCTCCAGGCTATCTGGAACCTGGGAGGGTCGGGAGGTGTGGGCTCCAGGTCCGCCCCCCGCCCCTGCCCTCAGCTTATCTGGACTAGACAAACCGTCCCCATCCCCTCTGCCCTCCCGTGGCTCCTCTACCAGCACAGCCTCCCAGCCACAGTGGCCCTGGTGATGTCCCTCAGGACCACACTGGTCCTGCTGGGTGGACAACCAGCCCCTGCTCAGGTTCAGTCCCCTTCCAGCCACAGGGCTTCTCCCACTCTTTGTCCCACGTTGCCCAACCCATCAGCTGTAGCCGTGGTGACTGTCTTCCCCACAGAGACCCAGAGGCGGGGAGTGGGGAGGGCTCGGGGTCGGTGTGGCCGGGCCAGCATCTCAGCCAGGCCTGGGACACCCCAGGAGGAGCCAACTCCCCATCTCTCTCTACTAAAGGGTGCCATCTGTCCTCGGCAGGTGAGCAGAAGAAAGAGGGGCACCTGTGCTCCGAGCCCACGTGCAGGGCCGAGGGGAGGGGAGCACTCACCGGACAGACAGATGGGCAGCTTCCTCTCCCAGTTCTGGGGGCTTCACGTGGTCCTGGGTCAGACAGCTCGGCCTGGCCCAGCCTTGCCTGAGGCCCCTGGCCCTGCTCTCACCTGTCAGGTGGGTCTGAAGGCCATGTGGTGGAGGGGCCACATCTCATGTGTCCCCTCTTTCCTCTGGCACCCACCTGTTCCTGGTGGGTGCAGGAGCAGGATGCTGCGGAGACGGGCCCCAGAGGAGGACAGTGCTGTCCTGATCAACATGGCCCCAGGGATGGAGAAGGGGGACTCTTATGGGAGCATATTCAACACCTCACAGGTAACTAACTCTCCATCGTCAGGGGCTCTGGGACAGAAAGCCCTGCACAGCTCCCCCCTACCCCGGCCCTGGGCTCCAGGCCATGGTCTATGGTGAATACAGGAGGGTCTCTGAGCCCCCACGCCTGGGATGGACACAAGGGCCCTGGAGACAATGACCTGGCTTGGGGTGGGGGGGAATGCATCCGGAGACCCCAAACCCTTACCTCCTGTGTCCCCAAGCTGCCTGGGAAGAGGGAGGTGTCACAGTGAGGTCACTGCCTGCCTTGGTGGCCCTGAGGGACCTGTAGAAATCCCCTGGGATGGCTGGACGAGGCCAGGGAGGTGGAGGCAGGGACAGGGCCAGATCCCTCCAGTGCGGTGGGGAGAGAGAGGGATGCAGGGCTCCCACTCCTGGCCCTGGGGGGGCCCAGACACCCTGAGTGAGGTTGTCGGGAGTATTCCTAATCCTCCTGGGCTCCGTGTCTGCCTCCTGGGTGCTGTCCACCCTAGCCCCACCGCTGAGAGCGGACACAGCAGCCCCTTCCCACTGCCCCACAGCATAGCCCCTGGGGGTGGGGGACACAGACCTCACTCACCCAGAACAGGATTCCACCCTCTGGGCACATGACCACCTCTGGCCCGTCCACAGAGCCACTCACAGGGCAGCTCAGCTCCCCTCCGGCCTCTGGAGCCTGCAAGGGTGGACACCCTGGGTATTGGCCACGCTGCCTGCAAACCTGACCCTTGCCCACAGCCTATGCCAGCTGCTCAGAGGCCAGGCAGCAGGAAGGGCCTGTGGCTGCCTCACCCGGGGTGTGCCTGGGAGCCCCCTGCCCACACCCAGTAGTGGCTCTCTCCACTGGGCCCTTGGTGGTCCTGGGTGGTCCAGGGCAGGGTGGGGGGCGTCCTCACCATGAGGTGTTTTTCTTCCAGACGGATGAACACCAGGCAGCCACTCACAGGGCGGGGAGCCCTGCCAAGCCCCGGATCGGTGAGCCCCTCCCTGTGTCTGCCAGCTGTGCCGGTGTTGGTGCTGGGGGTGGGGACACAGATAGGGTGCCCATGGCTAGTGGCAGGAGGACAGCAGGTCTGGGTCATCGGACTCTGTGACCAGGCTTCCCCTCCCCCACCCAGCACTCTCTCCTGAGGACCAGCTCTAGCGCCAATTGTGCTGGGAAATGGGGTGAGGGCCTCATAGTGAGCAGAACACAGTCTGGGGACACAGCAGGGAAGGGGTCTCTACTAAGGGGCTGGAGCTGGAAATAACTCTGGAGGGCAGAGGGAGCACCCACCTCCCTCCTGCTCTGGCCTTAGGGCAGCTTGGAGTCATCTCAGATTCTTAGGTTTTAAATACATTTTTATTGATTTTTAGAGAGAGGAACAAGAGGGAGAGAGAGAAATGTCAATGATGACAGAGAAACATTGATCAGCTGCCTCCTGCACGCCCCCTACTGGGGAGTGAGCCCAAAACTGGGGCGTGTGGCCTGACCAGGAATCGAATCCACAACCCTTCGGTGCATGAGATGATGCTCAACCGAGTCACACTGGCCAGGCCTACAACTGATATTTGTATGTTGATCTTGTATCTGGCAACCTTGCCAAACCTGTTATTAGTTCTAGCAGTTTTTGTAGTGAATTCCTCTAGATTGTCCCTGTCCGAGGTTGTGTCCTCTGCAGATGGGTCGTTTCGCTCTCAGCTTAACTGCTTATTGTTTGGGGTGAGTTCATTCCTCTTGCTCATCTGCATTTCACCTGAGAGTATCTCCCTCAGCCTAGAGGCCTTCCCCCGGTGTTTCCTGCAGAGCAGGTGGGCGGGGATTTTAATTCTCCCAGATTTTAATTCTTTGAGGAGACCTTCCTTTAGCCTCATCTCTGAAGAACATTCCTCTAGAATGAGAATTCCAGTGTTCGGTGTTTTCCGCAGTACTTTAAACATGCTGTTTTAGTGTCTTTTGTCTTCCATAGTTTCAGTTGAGAAATCAGGTGTCTATATTCTTATTGCTTCTGAGAAATAACATGTAGGTTTTTCCTCTTTCTCTGCGAGTTCACAGCAAAGACGCACTGCCCATGGCTCCCCTAGCTGGAGTTTCCTTATCCTGCTTGGGGAGCACTGAGATTTTTTATTCTTTGGATTGATTTTTTTTTTCCATCTGATTTAAAAATTCTTGACCATTTTTCTTTAAAAAGTGCTTCTTCCCACTTTCTCCTGGTTCTCAGTCGACGCTGGGTTGGACCCTTTGACCATGACCACAGCCTCTTGTATAGAGAGGTAGGCCAGGTGTCCAGGTGCTTGGCTCCTACTTCCCACCGGCACCTGGGTGCCCCAGCTGGGATGCCGGTACCCCACTCAGCCCGTCCCCCTGCTTCTGTTCCTATTGGCTCCCAGCAGACTTTGTCCTTGTTTGGGAGGAAGACCTGAGGCTGGGTGAACAGCAGGACAGCACAACCCAGGACAAGACAGAGACACACAGGGCCTGGCGGGAGACCTTCCTGGATAACCTTCGTGTGGCTGGGCTGCATGTGGACCAGGTACATGGGATTGGTTGTGGGCAGGGCCCAAGGCTCTGAAACCACAAGGCCTGCGGGTGTGACACCCAGAATCCAGGAACAAATCAAGCCCAGGGTCCTGCTGGGTGCACCTACCCCCCCCCCCAAGTAAACCATCAACCCATCATAGCACAGGGAGCTCGCTCATGGATGCCAGAGCCCTTTAAATTCACCCAAAAAATCAAAAGCCCTCTTCTCCATTCACCTGTCCCACCTCCAGCATTAGAGCTTCTGTCTAGGTGTGACATTTGTAATTATAACTCTAGTGTGCTTATAGGATTTAACAGCTAAAACACCCTTTCACGGATACGATGTCAGTTATAATAGCTGGTCCCACTTCAGCTGCAGGGAGTGTGAGAAAGCAGGAAGGAGCTGTGTGGTGCCATTGCAGTGGGGGCTCGTGGGCAGTGAGTGGGGCTTGGAGCAGCGGGGATCGGGGCGCAGAAGTCTGGTTCCATCCCATCCCTGCCCCCATCCCAGGTCCCTCTGCATGTCCCCTGCAGCGTCCGCCCTGCTTCCTCACCACCTTTCTCCGTCCCCAGGAGCAGGCTCTGCCATCATGCATCTGTCTTCCCAGCCCCAGATAATCAATCCTGAGCTTCATGTTAATCACGTTTTTATGTTTCTTTATCATTTGAGCACAATTTAGTTATTTATTTTTAATTAACTTATTTATTTTAGAGAGAGAAAGGGAGAGAGAGAGGGAGAGAGACATCGACTTGTTGTTCCATTTATTTATGAATTCATTGGTTGCTTCTGGTATGTGCCCTGAGCAGAGATCAAACCTGCGGCCTTTGCGTAGCGGGATGGGGCTCTAACCAACTGGGCCACCCGGCCCGGGCTCTTGAGCACATTTTATGTTGCCGAACAATGTGGCTTAGTTTCAGTTTGAACTTGATAAGACAGAGTTGTGCTCAGTGTGAGCTGACGTCACGCCTGCGTGACCCGCCTGCATCGTTGGCGCAGCGGCTGCCGGGCGGCTGTCCCTGTGTAGAGGTCTTGCCGGGGACTCTGTCGCTGTGTACTTATCTGTCATGTGGACGGATGTTTGACTTGCTCCCGTTTGGGGCTCTCGCGAAAAGGGCTGCCGTAAACTCTCACATGTGCGCACGTGTGGCCCTGTGCCCGGGTGCGGGAATTTGCCCCGAGGGTAGAGTTGCTGGCCTGGGGGTGTGTGTGGCCACCATGCCCCTAGCAGTGACCTGACAGGCACCCTGTCAGCCATGAGCGCCGCCCTTTGCTCTGTGTCTTCTCGGCACTTGGTTTTGTCTGACTTAAATCTTTGCCCATCTGGTTGGTGTGAGGTGCTACCTCCCTGGGGTTTTAAGCTGCATTTTCCCTGATTCCAAACGAGATGAGCATTTCTGCATGTTTTTGACTTGTCTGTGTTTCCAATACCGTGAGCTGCCTTTTTCGATCTTTTGCCCTGTTTTCCACGGGGTTGTTCACCTGTTTCCTTGCCAGCGTAGGGGCAGCTCCTATACTCTGGACCCTGCTCTTTGTTGGTTCCCAGTCCAGCGGGCCCGTCACCGTCACTGTGGTGTCCCCCCGTGGTTTTAACCAGTGGGGATTCACTTCCACCTTGTGCCTGTCCCTTCCCACCCCCCCGGGGCTCTCATGTTCCTGCTCATTGCCCGGAGTTAGCAGCACCTCCACCCACTGCTCAGCCGCCTCCCCGAGGCCCACGTTGGCCGCACTCCCTCCCAGAGCTTCCCTGAGTGTTGGTGAACATGTACCAGTGGGAGAGGGTCGAGAGCTATCACCCTGTCCCCTTCTGAGTTTGGGTCCACTTGTCAGTCGGGGAGTAGGGAAGAAAAGACGCCCCCTCCTTATGCAAAAAGCTCATGAGACAGTGTGGTGGATGGGTGTGGCCAGATGAGTTTGTGAAACCTTCATCCGGAATTGGGCAAGCTTGCCTTTTAGTGGGCGCAGAGGGCACCACAGGGCACCAGTGCTCAGCTTTGCCCAAAGTGCCCTCAGTCCCCAGTCTAAATGGCAATTCTCAGCACACATCACACTCATCTGGGGCAGAGGCCCATGTCCGCCCCTCTGCGGGGCCTGGGCACTGGCTTCTGGGGAACCCCAGATGGAGGCGATGTCGTGAGGGCTGAGAACCGCGGGTCCTTAGAAACAGGTGTATACTCAGTAGACACTTAATCATGGGACTAAAAGTTCCCATCTCAGGGCTCCAGGAGTGCCTGTCACATGTCCACATACACACGCACACATGCATGCGAACACAGTGATGCCACTCATAGTCACATCCACATGTGCACACTTCTAATTTACACACACAACATACACAGATGCCCAGAGGTTTGTCAGGGGGCCAGTCATTCAGTATCTGAAAACCAAGAGCTGAGCCTATTGCCTACTTGAGTCAGGGGAGCTGGGCTGCTCAGGCCGTCACTCTGAGCTCAGATGGGGGGGTGCGATGTCACAGGCGTGTGGCTGACGCTGGCCTCCATGCTTGGCTCTGAGGGTGCGGTCACAGAAGTGAGCTGTCACTTATCAACTAGGTTTAAAACCATGGCTGGTTAGTTGTTACCGTGGCTACAGAACAATCTGCCTCTTCCTAAAAGTGTGAATGGACACACACCCATGTGCACACACCCCCATACATACACACACATGCGTGTGCACATGCACACACACACACACAATGTGCACAAACATGCGCCTGCTTGTGCACCCATACAGACATGCACACAGGTGCACACACAGGTACAGATATGAACATGTGCAAACATGCACCCACGTGTGCACACGCGTGCGCGCTCAGGCTCTGACACAGCCCGGTCCCCACAGCGTCACGTCCAGGATGAGGGCAGTGTCGTGCACCATGTCCTCCTCAGTGCCTCCTGGGCCGTGCTCTGCTACTACGCCGAAGACCTGCGCCTGAAGCTGCCCCTGCAGGTGGGTACCTGGGGGCATGGGCGCAGAGAAGGCCTGGAGGTCCCCCAAGCCAGGGTTCCTCATGCCTGCACCCCCTGTGCTGGATGCCGTGTCCAGTGCTGACAACTTGAGGTTCCCCATTGTTTCCTCAAGGCCCCTCCCGGCCGTCATCACGCTGCTCCAGGAAGCTCTTGGGCAGACAGGGCAGGGCGGCCCTACCCCCAACCATAGCGAGTTCAGGGGAGATAGGGAGGCGTGGGCAGCAGCCATGGCTCTGAGCTGGCCACCTGGGCCCTCTAGCTTCCGACCCCCACCAGGCCACCCGTTGAGGGCCACTGCGGGAGGGGGAAGGGCAGCCGCAGCCCAGGGGACACAGGGTGGAGGGGCAGCCGGTGACTTCAGGATGCCATGCCTGGTGGCTGCTCTGACACCTACGCTGAGTCCCTTTGACCATCGTGGTATTTGGTGGCCAAAGGGACGTGTGACCGTCTGAACCTCCCCGCCTTGAGGGTCTCTGGGCCTCACCTGGGCCAGTTGAGCTGCCCTAGAATCCGTTCCCTCGCTGAACCCTTCCCCTGCTGTTCAGTTTGCAAATCCGCACATCCCACCCCACCCCACCGCGCCCATCTGCTCAGGGGTGGGAAGAACAAGTGGTGATCCCTTCCAGGAGCTGCCTAACCAGGCCTGCAACTGGTCAGCCAGCCTGCTGCAGCGGCTGGGTGTCCCCAACGTGCTGCTGGAGGATGTGCCCGACATGCCCCCCGAGTATTACTCCTGCCAGTTCAAAGTGAGCAAGCTGTCGAGGTGAGAGGCGGTGGCCCTGCTGTGCCCAGGGGACACAGCCAGGGGTGCATGCATGAGCGGTCAGCGAGTGGCGGAACTAAAAGTCCGCATTCCCCCAAACCTTCTCCTTTCTGGAGCTTTTCAACCCGGGAGCGTGAGTGGCAGTTGGGCAAGCTCAGCCCACGTCCATGTCAGTCAGGACAGGCAGGCTGTGCTGTGGACAATTGTCCCCCAGACCTCAGTGGCTGGACACACAGCCCATTTCCTGCTCAGTGACATGTCCACAGTGGGTGGCAGGGTCTCCTGGGCCCAGGCGGCTGGGAGCCCTCCTGGCACAGCTGAAGCAGAAGGTGGACATGGTCAGTCCATACCCGCTGCTGGTGGCACCTCTCCTGTGGGCGCGTCTCGTGGCACACCTAGCCTGCAGACTGGGCCGTGTCCAGGCATGGTGGGGACTGATGTGGGTGACCAGCAGTGAAGTCCCCACGTGGTCTCACTGCCCACACCGAGAACACCTCCCTTCTCTGCTGGGGACATTCAGCCACACTAACTCTTGCCCCCGCCCACGGAGCTTCCCAAGTCTCTGGCATCACAGGGAAGGCCCTCTGGTCCACCATCCCTCCATGCCGGCCACCACCAGACACAGCCACGAGGCCTTTGGTCCCATGCTTGGAGGCCACAGGGCTCCTCAAAGAGCCTGGGGCTCCCACACTGTCCTGCCCTCGGCCAGCCACTGTCCCGGGGTGGAGGGACGTCTGAGACATCTGGACAATGTTCTGTGACCTCCTCCCTCCAGAGAGGAAAAGGCAGAAATGGGATTTGATTGTGTGTCGGGGGGGCGGGGGGGGATGGTGGCTGTTCCCCAGCGTGCAAGGCGGAGGCTGCGTGATCCGTGTGCCGTGTCCCTGCCCAGAAGAGCCGTGGGCTCTTCTGACATTTCACATGCCCACAGGTTCCTCCACAGTGACAGCCAGGACAGCTTCTTCACCAGCACAAACAGGCACCAGATTGTGAGTGGGGTCCCCAAGGCAGTCCCCACACCCTCACCTGCTCTCGGGAGCTGGCCGGCCCCAGACCTCCCAGCCCGAGATCTGGGCGCAGGAAGGCTCTTCTGTGGTTGGACCACTGAGGCCAGGGCTGGGGGCTGCAGGCACAGGGGTGACCCACCTCACTGCACTCAGTTGGGGCCCTGCTCAGTGCCCCCTGCAGGACGCTCCCCCAAGGGCCCGGAATGGATATTAGTTACGGACTTGTGGGACAGACAGCCATGGCCACTGGGCCCAGGTGGGCCCTGCCGGTCAGCGAGGAAGGGAGCCAGGGGTCCGAGCATCGTCCCTGAGAAGGGTGGGCTGAGCCAGACTGCTCCAGGATCTGTGACGGAAAGGGGCTAGGACAGGCCTGCCCGGGACAGCCCCCTGCTGCTGGCCACCAAAGGGGCAGAGCACACGCCTGACACAGCCGTCCAGCCGGAGGCTGGCTCTGCCCAGAGTGGGGTCCAGGGCTGGCTGTGCATGGCCAGGGCCAGGGGTCAAATCCAAGCTCAACACCTGCGCGCCCGTGATCCTGGCCAAGGTCTTGCGATCGTACAGTGGAGGATGCCCGTCCCACCTCGGGGTGGGGTGCGTGAGGGACAACAGGGAGACCTGGGCGCAGGGAGCACCCTCTTCCTTTGTCACCAGAGGGCTGCGGGGGGCCGGCCGCGGGCTCAGCCCCGAGACGGAGGGCCAGGATGTCCCCACCCGTCGTCACATGATAGGTGACCTGTACCCCCCACCCCCACCCCCAGCTGTTTGAGATCCTGGCCAAGACCCCGTACGGCCATGAGAAGAAAGGTCTGTTTGGGGTCGACCAGCTGCTGTCCCAGGGCGTCTTCAAGGCGGCATTCCCCCTGCACGAGGTGAGGCTGGGGTCTGGGGCTCCAGGGCAGGGTCTCGGGCCCGGGCATGGGGTGAGCTCCCAGATGAGCGGTCCTGCTGTCCACTCCAGAGGGTGTGGGGGCAGCTGTAGCCAGATGAGTGGCCTGCTGGGGGATGTGACCAGGTCATGCTGTCGCCTGTTCAAGCCCTGGGCAGCCAGGACTGCCCTCTCGTCCCAACAGCCCACAGGCCCAGCGCCACAGGCCCAACAGCACCGTCTCCACCAGCAGCTTCCGTCTTGGGGAGAACAGTGAGGTCCCCCATGCTCCCTGCAAGTAGGGTAAACTGAGGCAGTGGAGGGCTACTACCATCGTCCTGACAAAATGTCCACTGTGAGGTCTGGAAGCTGTTTGCACCCTGATCCCCCTTCCAGGCCTCAGAGCTGCAGGAAGGAGCCGCAGGGTGAGGGCAGGGGCAGGCCTGCAGCCACCTGAGGTGCCAGGGGCCTCCTGAGGATGTGTAGGGGAGTGGCCAGCTCCACCTCGGCCGCAGGGCATCCCTCTTCCCGCCTCTGGCCAGAGCCGAGAACCCGCAGCACCTGGCACAGCCGGCCTCACTTGCCTGGCCGTTGGGGAGATGGTACAGCACCGGGCTGCAGAAGCCCACCCAGAGGTGCCGGTCCACCCTGGACCACAGCTCAGCTCCTCCTGGACTTGGGGCCCTGGGAGACTGAGGCACGTAGCTCAGATGTCGCCTCCCAGAGAGGCCTTCCCAGACCCCGCAGATCCCCCAGACCCCAGCGTTGCTCTTTCGTCCTCGAGCAGTAACCCCGAGTCCAGGACTCAGGGGTGGGCCTTGCGCAGTGCTGAAGCCCCACACCCAGAACAGGGCCCAGACCAGCTGAGCCCTGCCCACCGGCTTCTTGTCCCCAGGGACCCTTCATGACGCCCCCGGAGGATCTGCACGCCCCTGGCCTCAGCCAGCGGCAGATCCTGTTCCAGTACTGGGCCCGCTGGCGCAAGTGGCACAAGTACCAGCCTCTGGACCACGTGCGCAGGTACTTCGGGGAGAAGGTGGCCTTCTACTTCGCCTGGCTCGGTGAGTCCCTCCCGCCGCCCCTTGGGGCCTCCCTGGCCCCCGACTCAGTCTTCAGGGTAACAGTCTGCTAATCTGTGTCTCCAAGAAGGGAGAGAGCACAGGGGCCGGGCTGCCAGCCTGCTGACCCCTCCTAGGCCACCTCGGCCACCAGCCCAGGGCCCTCTTAACACCCCAGCCAGGGACCGGGAGCCCCCTCCTGCAGGCAGGCCTCCTCACTCCAGCCCCCAGTGTTCCTGGCTCACCAGACATGGCCTATGAGAGCCCAGGGCAGAGGCTAGGACGAAGGGGCTGCCAGGGAGGACCCCTGACGACCATCCCCCCCACACCTACCTCCCAGACGATCTGCCCCAGACCCCCTGATTGGATGTGGGTCCCTGGGGGACAATTGTGTCCATGCAGACCCCCACCCAGAACTCAGCCCAGTGTTGGGTGCACGGGCCCATCCAGGGTGCTGACAGTGGACTCCTGGCCCCCCACCCGGCTCCCCTCTGCAGGGTTCTACACAGGCTGGCTCCTGCCGGCAGCCGTGGTGGGCACGCTGGTGTTCCTGGTGGGCTGCTTCATGGTGTTCTCAGACACACCCACGTAAGTGCCCTCTCCCTTCCAGTCCCAGGCCTCACCCTGTGTCTTCGGGGTTGGGGGAGGTGGTCAGGGACCCCCCACATGCCAAGGCCTGTGTAAAGCTGGGGATGGAGGTGAGCGCTGGGCACTTCCCCGCCCTCATGGATGTCACAGAGGGCCCCACAGACCTGGCTGGAAGAATGACAGGTAGATAGGGGTGCTCCCGAGACTGACCATTGGACAAATGTGCCTCCAGGTGACACAGGTGGACAGGGGTGTTCCCAGAATGACGCAGGGAGACAGGTGTGCTCCCAGGCTAATTTTATTGACACCCTGTTTCTTGTAATAGTGTAAGCTTTTCTTACAATAAACAAATGACAGGGCTTGAGTTTTACTTTATTACGGAGCTGAAATTTCAAAAAGTTATCTCAAAAACTATCATCGCCCATATTTTAAAGAAATGCTGGGCTGGCAAAGGCAGTGGTGGGAGGGAGAGGCAAGGCAGGCCTGGCGGGAGGGCCCCCTTCTCTGGCACCCCCTCCGCTCTGAAGGCAGGAGCTGTGCAGCAGTGCCGACAGCTTTGAGATGTGCCCGCTCTGCCTCAACTGCCCCTTCTGGCTGCTCTCCAGCGCCTGCTCCCTGGTCCAGGTAGGAGGGTGGGGGCAAGGGGAGGAAGGCAGTTCCCGGTCCTGGTCCTGCCCCACCCGAGACCCAGCTCTGTGGTGCCCACCTTGGCAGGGTGCCTGTATCATAGGTGGCCATAGGTGGGCCCTTACTATTACTGTTGTTATTGTCTCTAATGGACCAAGGTCAGCCCAGCCGGAGGACCCCCAAGGCAGACAAAGCCGGAAGCTCCCAGGGCACACACCGGGGAGCAGAACCGCCGGCTTAAGAGGCCAGGGGCAGGCGGCTCCTTGGAGTCCTTGGCCCCCGCAGGCCCCCACAGCAGCCCAGCACACTGTGGGCGTGTTAGTGTCCCACGGGGACAGTGGCCTCGTGGCCTTGCCTGCATCCCCCACACACTGGGCCTGGAGCCCCTGGTGCAGAGTTGGCCCCCAGACCACACACCTTTGCCACCCCTGGGCATCCACCTGCACCGTTTCCTAGGGCTGCTCTAACAAATCGTAACCGGGGCCTGAAACAACAGGAATTATTTCTCCACAGTCTGGAGGCCAGAAGTCCAACGTCCAGGCGTTGGCAGGGCTGGCTTCTCCCGGAGATGCTCTTGCTCCCACTTCTGGTGGCCGCACCTCCCCATCTCTGCCTCTGGGCACTGCACCCACTCCCCTTCTCTGCTTTCCTAAGGATTTGTCACTGGGCTCAGGGACCCCTAAGCCAGGTGCTTTCATGTGGACACCCCCACCTTAATTACACACCCAAAGACCGTTGTTCCAAATAAACTTACATTCTGAAGTTCCAGGTGGGGGCCACACTCCAGTCCACTCCAGTCCACCCTCTGGCCCCCAAACTTCATGTCCATCCCATAGGCAAAATGCAACACCCCCAGGGTTCTAAACACATCATGGCTTTAGCTCTAAGTCCAAAAATCTCCCAAATATCAACCGTTCGAAACGTCCCGAGTCTCATCTAAATCACCTACGTGGTTATGGGGGAGACTCGGGTGTGGTCATCCTGGGGCAGCATCTGCCGTCCGCGGCCCCCGCAGGAAAACGAGTCACCTGCTTCCAAAATACAACGGCTGACAGGCTCAGGACAGGTGTCCCCATTGCTCAGGGGGGAAACTGAGGCACGGCCGGGGCCGCTGTGTGAACGGCCCGCCCCCCGCAGGCCGGCCGGCTCTTCGACCACGGGGGCACCGTCTTCTTCAGCGTGTTCATGGCGCTGTGGGCCGTGCTGTTCCTGGAGTACTGGAAGCGGAAGAGCGCCACGCTGGCCTACCGCTGGGGCTGCTTCGACTACGAGGACATCGAGGTGAGTGGGGCCCCGGGCGCGGCCCCCCCCCTGAGGCCGCCGCTGAGGACCGGCTCCCTTCCAGGAGAGGCCGCGGCCCCAGTTTGCCGCCTCGGCCCCCACGACAGCCCTGAACCCCGTCACCGGCGAGGAGGAACCCCACTTCCCCAGGAGGAGCCGCATGCGCCGCACGCTGGCCGGCTCCGTGCTGGTGCTGATGATGGTGAGGGTCCCGCCGCCGGTCCCTCCCCTCGCACCCCTTCCTCTGAGCTGCGTGGGGCGGCTGTCGTCCCCCCTGCCCCCTGGGGCCCCGAGACACTTGCTGCCCCAGAAAGGCCCCTGTGGGCCTGGGCTCCAGGGAGGGGCCAAGCTCAGGTCCAGGCTGGGGGCCTGGGGTGTAAGACGTGGGTGTGGGCGGGCCGGGGGCTCTGGGAAGGTTTCCCCACAGAGGTGGGCCGGGGGCATCCCTCACGCTGGGGGGATCCCAGCTCGGGTTCCTCCAGCTGGGGGGCTTCCTAGCGCAATCCTGCCCTCCCCTCCCCAGATGTCAGGAGTTTCCAAGTTTTGGGTGGCAGGAGGGCAGGGTGGGGGCTGGCTGGTTGGTTCTCAGCACCTGAGGCCAAGAACAACCCACAGTGGCTCCCCTGACACCCAGGCATCGTCCACCTGTAATTTTAAGTGGCCTCCCGCCCCCACCCTCCCCTCCTTGCCGCCCTGTTCCCCCCAATAACCCACTGGGAGAGGCACAGGGCACAGCCAGGTCTACGGGTAGGAGCTGTGGCCCCAGGGTCCTGGGGTCCCGGGCTCGGCGTGGGTCTCACAGGCTGGGCCGCCCGTAGGTGGCGGCGGTGGTCATGTGCTTCGTGTCCATCACTGTGTACCGCACCACCATGGCCATCCTGGTGTCCAGGTCGAACAACACCCTCCTAGCGACCCGGGTGAGCCTCCGCCACCGGTTCCTGCTGGGTGGGGGCGGCTCGGGACCACCCCGGGTGCAGCTCCTGCTGGGCGGGGTGGCCCTGACCCACCTCCTGTCCCCAGGCTTCGCGCATCGCCAGCCTCACCGGCTCCATGGTGAACCTAGTCTTCATTCTCACCATCTCTAAGGTCTACGTGGCCCTGGCCCACGTCCTCACACGGTGGGGTGAGTGGCCAAGGCCGGTGCTGAGCCGGAACCGCCCCAGCCCCACCCCAGACCACCACTTCCTTGCAGATCCACAGGGTCCTTGTGTCTGAGGCACAGGTGGGATGTGGGACCCCCCAGCTGTGAGCAGGGCCTGGGGTGGGGACAGGAGGGTCCTCCGGGGCACCCAGGCCTCGCCCCTGCTCCCTGTGCACAGGGCCCCTCGCAGCTGAGCTCCCCTGGGAGGGCCTGCCCAGCCCAGGCCCCTGCGTGCCGGCTTTCTCAGTGTCTGAGAGGCAACTGGGGGTAGCTGCCGAGTAGTAAGCTCCTTCCCTCTCCTCCTTGGTTCTTCCCCCACAGGCCTGCCTCTCCCCCCACCCCCATTTCCTAAGGACAAACTCCAAAGAACCAATCCTTCATCCTGTAATTGTCTATTAGCAGCCCTGGTCTAGGAGTGGGACAGAGAGCTCAGTGTCCACCTGGGGAGGGGGCTTTTGGGTGGGCGGGTGTCCCACGGATGCCCCCAGTGTTCCTGCAACAGTGGGGCCGTGTGCGCCCCATTTCCGGCCTCAGGTGTTCCCTGCAATTCACCTTTTATGCCCCACCTCCGTCTGTCTCAGCACCAGCCTCCCAGGCAGGGTCACCCCAACCTCAGACTATCCCTTGGCCCTGCCTCTGGCTGCTCCCGGGGCCCACCAGTCTGTTCCCAGCATTGCTGTGGGTTAGTCGCGTGCCCGGCTCTTCCTCCACCAACATAACGCGTTTAGATGATTTTGAAATGAGAACATGGGGGACGCCGCACTCTGCCCCCCTCCTGAATGAGCTTCTGTCCAATCCCTGGGGGACGCGCTTTCCTCGCTCCCTGGCCAGTGAGGTGGTCACGGGGCCGGGCGCGGGGGACTGAGGAGCCTCTCTGCCCAGAAATGCACCGGACGCAGACCAGCTTTGAGGACGCCTTCACCCTCAAGGTGTTCATCTTCCAGTTCGTCAACTTCTACTCCTCGCCCATCTACATTGGCTTCTTCAAGGGCAGGTGGGCACCTCACCCGGCCCTGCTCCTGCGCTGCCCCCTGTGGGTCCCCCTGTGGCCCCCGATGCTCAGGGAGGGCAGGGATGACGGCCTGGAGGCCTGGTGGAGACGCAGCTGTCCTGGCCCAGGGCCTCGGGGCCCCGGGTCCACCTCGAGGTTCCTGCAGGTGCCACGAGGGAGGCACAGTGCAGGCGGGGGGACAGCACCTCCTCACTCGCAGCCTCGGGACCTCCATCTCCTCTAGGTTTGTGGGTTACCCAGGCAACTACCACACCTTGTTTGGGGTTCGCAACGAGGAGGTGAGTGCGCCGGGACTGACGCCCACGGGTCCTGCCCCTGACTTCCATCAGAGCCTTAATTTGCAGGGATCCTCTCTGCCCCTCCCCCAGGGCCGCAGCTGCCCCGGGACCCCCACAGCAGCCTCCTCACAGCCACTCAGGCCCCCGCCCGGCACAGCCACCCACAAAACACAGTCCTGTCCTCCTGTGTCACCTTTCCCCGCGCTGACCTGACTCTCACACCTGAGCTGAGTCCCAGCCACTGTGCTGGGCTGTCAGCCACTGTCACTGACCAGAGCTCCTCTGGGGACAAAGGCTGGTGACTGTCACGGGGCTCGGTGCCCCCTGTGGGCACCTGGGTTTGAGCCTGCCCGCCCTTCAGAGACACGGTGGAAAGCCCCTCAAAATTGTCCCCAGGCGTCTGGCTCCTCCCTGGCTGAGGGCATAGGCTAGGTGGGGCTGGAACCGTCCTCAGGTGGCCTCTGGGCAGGGCGGGGGGGGGCCTGCCAGCTCCTGCTGACCACCTCACCTGAAAGACCTCTCTGATCAGAAGGGCTCCCTCCTGCCCATGGTTCTGGGCTGTGACCCCACCCACCGCTGCCGGCAAGGCGTCCACCCCCAAGGAAGGCTCTTTATTTTACCATGATGGGGAGGGGCTTTTCAGGGACCGGGCAGCTGGGCCCCCAACTTCAGTCACCAGTGGGACAAGTTCTAGACTTAAGCTGGCTTAAGCAGAAACAGAGCCCCTGGCTCCTGTACTGAAGCCAGACAGGTGTCCTGGGTGCAAGCAGCTGAACAGTGCTGCCCTGCTGCCCAGCACTGGCCACGCAAGACCTCAGGCAGGTCCTCCTCACCCCCGGGGGGCAACATGCCACCAGCACAGGTTCCCCTGTGCGAGGTGCGCCGTCTCAGGAGCTCCCCCTAAAAGCCCCTGGGCGCACCTCTCACTGGCTGGAATTGCTGAGGCTGCAGGGTGGGTGCTCCGCAGAGCCACAGGCCAGTGTCAGCCCCACACCACCTGGGCCTTCAAAGGAAAACTGGGGTGCTGTGCAGCAGTGGCCCTGGTCATTCCCATGCACCGTCCCCCAGGTGGACCTCAGGGAGACGTGGGGTTTGGGGGAGGACTTACGCAATCCGAAAGGTAGCCACAGCATGTCTGAAAGGGAGGTGGGACATGGGCCACCTTCCAGGGTTGGGGGGGGGGGCATGAGGCCCCCTCCCCTGCGCTAACCTGGAGCTTGCTGTGCAGTGTGCGGCCGGAGGCTGCCTCATCGAGCTGGCACAGGAGCTCCTGGTCATCATGGTGGGCAAGCAAATCATCAACAACATGCAGGAGATGCTCGTCCCGTGAGTCCCCCACCTGCCCTGGGCAGCATCCAATGACCCTGGGACCGGCAGTGGCTGGGGACAGCCCCGGCCCGGTCCCAACCTGGAGAATAGGTGGAGGGAAGCCAGGTGGGCCCCTCCCGGACCTGGCTGCCTCACTTGCAGGGGAGGGGAGGGTCTGCCCCCCCATCCACCCTATGGGTTCTGTGACACCCCCACCCCGTGGTTGCTGTGTGGGCATATCGAGTTCTGTCCCTTCCAGCTTCATTGAGGGAGGAGGCCCACCCTTCCTGTAGCCCCTGTGGCCAGGGGTTTTGAGCACCCCCAGCCAAGGCAGCACCAGAGGGGGTCACCAGGGGAGGCCCGAGCCTCAGGTGTCCAGCCACTGGGGTCCTATCTCCCCCATGCCACCACCGCCACCGGCACCACTGTGGCTCCTGTCCTGGCAACCGGGCCCTCTCCCAGGCCAGAGCCCTTGCCATGACTGCCCAAGGCTGGACCCAAGCTGGGCATCTTCCCACCTCCCCTGCACACCTGATTGTCCCAAACAGCACAGACTCCCCTGGGCACCTCGAACCATAGCCATGGGACCTTGGCCAACCCACGGCTATCTTTGGGTGCAGTCCATGCTATGCAGCTGAATTCAAGGAGATCACGAGTCTGGAATGTCGCTGGTGCCTGTAGGGGCTGCATGAGTGGTGGCAAAGCCACATACACACATTCCCCAAGTATGACAAAGCATCACAGGCACACATGTTCCACATACGATACAGCAACACACACACGTCCCCTGCTGGCACAGCGATGGCCTCATCGGTTCCCTTCTACCTCAACACAGCTCTTGGCACCTCTGCTTTTCCCAGAAGGAATCCATCCCCCAAAGCTTCCCTGAGCAATGGTCACTTTCCTGGGGGCACTGCAGGGGACCCAGGGAGGGGCTACCCTCCCAGAAGGATGCAGATGCTCTCGGGGTTCTGCAAGGCCTTGCCCACTGTGCCCGTCCCAGGGCCCAGACCCTCCCCATGCTGCCCTCAAAATGCAGAGCAGCCAGGACTCTGCTTCAGAAGCAAGAGCCATGTTCCCGGTGTGCCCCCTCCAGGAAGCTCAAGGGCAGGTGGCTTCGCTCCAAGAAGGGGAAGGTGGCTTCAGCAGCTGTGGGCCAGGCCCCCTGGGAGGCGGACTACGAGCTCCTGCCCTATGAGGGCCTGTTTGACGAGTACCTCGAAATGGGTAGGTGCCCCTGGGGCCCCCAGCCTCAGCATTTCTCTGTCTCCCTGAAACATGACCCGGGTGTGGACAGGGGATCCCTGGTGGAGCCAGGCCTGCAAAGGATCCTGAAAGGACTTGTGGGGGCCACAGTGGGGAACGCCCATAAAGATAGGCCGAGGATGGGAAGGGGCAGCACCCTGGGCACAGGGCTTGGGAAGAGGGCCCGGGGCAGTTGATGGGGCTCTCCTGGAGTGGCCTTGATCCCCCCCACCCCAGAAAGCATCAGCTAGAGCCTCCTGCAGGGGCTAGGAAAGAAGCCAGGCTGGTGCTCCGGAGACCAGGCGCTAGGGCTGGGGACAACTGCCCCCAGAGTAAGGCTGCACCTGGGAGGTGACTGGCCTCAAGTCCCCTGACCGCTGGAGTCCCATCTGGGAGTTGATTCCAGAAATTTTCTCGATGCCCACACTCTTTGCTGGACCCTCAACCGTGCGGTGGCCAGGTGGTGGCGGGCGCCTGTGCTCATTCCCTGCACAGGGTGATGTGCTGGGCGGGGGGCAGGGTCTTTGTCTAATGCGGGCGCGGTCCTGCGGCCCAGGGTCTTCCTCTGAGGTCCCGGCACAGTCGTAATGGAAAGTGTTGGGTCTGAGCCAAACGCACCACCCTGAGCTCGCCGGCAGCCAACGCCAAGGGGCCACAGTAGGGCGTCCTCGGGGATAAAGGGAGCAGACAGCGCAGTGCCTTTTCATGACAAGCGAGTGGGGTGCACCCCGCCCGTCCCTAGGCCGCTGGGCAGCCGCAGTGGGGCCGGTGCCCTCCTTAGCGATTTCAGAGCACCCGGGGGTGAACGGAGCGGGCAGCCCCCGCTCGCCGTCCCGCCCGAAGCCCGCAGGGGACGGGGAGGGGCCCAGNGCCAGGTGAGGCCGCCAGGTGGGGGCGCCAGGTGGGGGCGCCAGGTGGGGGCGCCAGGTGAGGGCGACAGGTGGGGTTGCCAGGTGGGGTCGCCAGGTGAGGCCGCCAGGTGGGGGCGCCAGGTGGGGGCGCCAGGTGGGGGCGCCAGGTGAGGGCGACAGGTGGGGTTGCCAGGTGGGGTCGCCAGGTGAGGCCGCCAGGTGGGGGCGCCAGGTGGGGGCGCCAGGTGGGGGCGCCAGGTGAGGGCGACAGGTGGGGTTGCCAGGTGGGGTCGCCAGGTGAGGCCGCCAGGTGGGGGCGCCAGGTGGGGGCGCCAGGTGGGGGCGCCAGGTGAGGGCGACAGGTGGGGTTGCCAGGTGGGGTCGCCAGGTGAGGCCGCCAGGTGGGGGCGCCAGGTGGGGGCGCCAGGTGGGGGCGCCAGGTGAGGGCGACAGGTGGGGTTGCCAGGTGGGGTCGCCAGGTGAGGCCGCCAGGTGGGGGCGCCAGGTGGGGGCGCCAGGTGGGGGCGCCAGGTGAGGGCGACAGGTGGGGTTGCCAGGTGGGGTCGCCAGGTGAGGCCGCCAGGTGGGGGCGCCAGGTGGGGGCGCCAGGTGGGGGCGCCAGGTGAGGGCGACAGGTGGGGTTGCCAGGTGGGGTCGCCAGGTGAGGCCGCCAGGTGGGGGCGCCAGGTGGGGGCGCCAGGTGGGGGCGCCAGGTGAGGGCGACAGGTGGGGTTGCCAGGTGGGGTCGCCAGGTGAGGCCGCCAGGTGGGGGCGCCAGGTGGGGGCGCCAGGTGGGGGCGCCAGGTGAGGGCGACAGGTGGGGTTGCCAGGTGGGGTCGCCAGGTGAGGCCGCCAGGTGGGGGCGCCAGGTGGGGGCGCCAGGTGGGGGCGCCAGGTGAGGGCGACAGGTGGGGTTGCCAGGTGGGGTCGCCAGGTGAGGCCGCCAGGTGGGGGCGCCAGGTGGGGGCGCCAGGTGGGGGCGCCAGGTGAGGGCGACAGGTGGGGTTGCCAGGTGGGGTCGCCAGGTGAGGCCGCCAGGTGGGGGCGCCAGGTGGGGGCGCCAGGTGGGGGCGCCAGGTGAGGGCGACAGGTGGGGTTGCCAGGTGGGGTCGCCAGGTGAGGCCGCCAGGTGGGGGCGCCAGGTGGGGGCGCCAGGTGGGGGCGCCAGGTGAGGGCGACAGGTGGGGTTGCCAGGTGGGGTCGCCAGGTGAGGCCGCCAGGTGGGGGCGCCAGGTGGGGGCGCCAGGTGGGGGCGCCAGGTGAGGGCGACAGGTGGGGTTGCCAGGTGGGGTCGCCAGGTGAGGCCGCCAGGTGGGGGCGCCAGGTGGGGGCGCCAGGTGGGGGCGCCAGGTGAGGGCGACAGGTGGGGTTGCCAGGTGGGGTCGCCAGGTGAGGCCGCCAGGTGGGGGCGCCAGGTGGGGGCGCCAGGTGGGGGCGCCAGGTGAGGGCGACAGGTGGGGTTGCCAGGTGGGGTCGCCAGGTGAGGCCGCCAGGTGGGGGCGCCAGGTGGGGGCGCCAGGTGGGGGCGCCAGGTGAGGGCGACAGGTGGGGTTGCCAGGTGGGGTCGCCAGGTGAGGCCGCCAGGTGGGGGCGCCAGGTGGGGGCGCCAGGTGGGGGCGCCAGGTGAGGGCGACAGGTGGGGTTGCCAGGTGGGGTCGCCAGGTGAGGCCGCCAGGTGGGGGCGCCAGGTGGGGGCGCCAGGTGGGGGCGCCAGGTGAGGGCGACAGGTGGGGTTGCCAGGTGGGGTCGCCAGGTGAGGCCGCCAGGTGGGGGCGCCAGGTGGGGGCGCCAGGTGGGGGCGCCAGGTGAGGGCGACAGGTGGGGTTGCCAGGTGGGGTCGCCAGGTGAGGCCGCCAGGTGGGGGCGCCAGGTGGGGGCGCCAGGTGGGGGCGCCAGGTGAGGGCGACAGGTGGGGTTGCCAGGTGGGGTCGCCAGGTGAGGCCGCCAGGTGGGGGCGCCAGGTGGGGGCGCCAGGTGGGGGCGCCAGGTGAGGGCGACAGGTGGGGTTGCCAGGTGGGGTCGCCAGGTGAGGCCGCCAGGTGGGGGCGCCAGGTGGGGGCGCCAGGTGGGGGCGCCAGGTGAGGGCGACAGGTGGGGTTGCCAGGTGGGGTCGCCAGGTGAGGCCGCCAGGTGGGGGCGCCAGGTGGGGGCGCCAGGTGGGGGCGCCAGGTGAGGGCGACAGGTGGGGTTGCCAGGTGGGGTCGCCAGGTGAGGCCGCCAGGTGGGGGCGCCAGGTGGGGGCGCCAGGTGGGGGCGCCAGGTGAGGGCGACAGGTGGGGTTGCCAGGTGGGGTCGCCAGGTGAGGCCGCCAGGTGGGGGCGCCAGGTGAGGTCACCAGGTGAGGCCGCCAGGTAGGGTCGTCAGGTAGGGTCGCCAGGTGGGGGAGCCAGGTGAGGTCGCCAGGTGGGGCCGCCCTGAGGACAGACTCGGGGAGCAGGGCCCCAGGGTAGGGGACAGGGCGACCAGACGCCCCCGGGCTCCGGCCCTGGGCTTCCTGCCTCAGACCGGCCACCAGCTGTGGGACGCGGGGACGGGGCGGGGACTTCGGGGACCCATCCTGCTCACCCCAGGGCGGGCACGGGGCGGGGCGGTGACAGCGGACACCCACACACGGCGGGGGGAGCTTCTGAAAATCAGAGGCCACGACCCGCACAGTTGAAGCCTGTGAAGTTCCCCTTTGTCATCAATTTTGGTAATTTTTTTGGTTTTTTTTTTACAGAAAACCCTTTCAGTTGAGCTTTAAAATGTAACGACACAAATGTATTCATAATATTCTCTTAGGTTTTCTTAAGCTCCCCTGTTTTTGTATTTATGGCTGCATTTTCTTTCCAGACATAGTCTGTGTCTTTTCCTTTCTCTTAAAAAATCAATCTTCCGGAGTTGAAGTCTCAGCGCATTAGTTTTCAGTCTTCCTTGGGCTTTAAGAAACAAATTCATGTCTATAAATTTACTTGAATATACCCCTTAGCAGTCCCATTCCATTGGGGCTGAGCACCCACCTGCTGTCCTCCAGTTCTAAATATTTCATAACTTCAGTTGTGATTTTCTTATTTATCCACAAGTTATTTAGGAGAGTAGGTTCCGAAACGCGCAGCTTTTTACATTGAATTATACTTGGCGGGCACTGTTATATTAGCTTCAGGTGTACAACACACTGATTCGGTGTTTTGTTTTGTTTTCACCACCCCCGGGATATTTTTTGCATTGCCTTTCAGAGAGAGGAAGGGGGAGAGAGAAACATCCCTGTGAGAGACCCCGATTGGCTGCCTCCTGCACGCCCCCGACTGGGGATCGAGCCCACAACCCGGGCATATGGCTTGACCGAGAATTGAGCCGGTGACCGTCTGGTGCAGCAGATGCTGCTCAACCCCGACCCACACTGGCTGGGCATTGTTCTACAGTTTTAATTTTACTATTAAAAACACACAGAAAGTTTTAATCACATCTATTTGGTGCATTAATCTATGTGGCTACAGGAACTTCTTACTCTGAATTTGTACTTCTTCTTGCGGAAGCGTACCCTTTAATGGCTCTTTCAGGGATGGTGTGTGGCTCCTGAACTCTTATGGATGTTGGTTTTTATGTCTTAATCTATCTTTCTGTCCAAATAGTAGGCATAAAAATCCCAGGTGGAGAGCTTGTCCCTCGGGTTTTCAGAAACATGCTGTGGTGCCCTGGCTCTTCCTGTTGGAAGCACACATACGTGGCATTTGAGATTTTTTCTCGTTTCCTTTATCTTTGTCTCTAACAGCAGGGATCAGCCGTGATAGGGTTTATTTAAGTTTCTCACTGAGACTGAGACGAGTGGTCTAAGGAGTGGTGTTTCCTTAGTCCCGGAAGCGGCTGCATTTTATTTCTCCACACAGATCCGCCCCGCCC